CTGGGTATTGATTGCTAAAAGAAAATTGTCCTCTTGAACATATCGGTGTACTTTACACTACTGACAAAATGCATGTAATTCTGTAAGGTATAAATGCTGATCACATTGTTGACAGTCAAAAATGGATAAGGTGTTATATTTTTAATGCTTGGTTTATCGGTCCAAAGATCCTAGAAATCAGCAAAAAAATATTTTCAGTTTAAAGCTTTTTTTATTACCACAAGCCTCATAATCACAACAATCGCAAGTGATACAAACTCAACGACTGCCATAAGTGTTTGTTCAAAGCAGGAGATATAGACCCGATAATATTCGTAGATTTGTCAGTACTCGAGTAGTGTATTCCCATGTAAATATAAGAAAAATAACATTCTGTCCCATTTCACACAAAATGTGAAATGAAATATAGAGAATTTGACATTATATTTTTTTCATTCTCCCAAAAACTTTTTATTAATCAAACAAATTAAAGAGTCCCATTTTATTTTTATTTTGACTATTATAATGCACATTAATTAACTAATAAACATGATTTTAAAAAAAGAAAGGCCTACAAAAAACTGGAGCAAGATTCTTGACATTTCCTTACCACTTGACATGTTATATTGAAATTTGAGATACCGAAAGTCATAGGAGCATTGCACTGAATGCCAATCGTATCTACTGATCAATTGCTGTATTTCATGTGGTTTATACAACAAATGGAGCTGATTTTCAAGACTCCATTAATTCAAACTTGAAATGTTAACATACATAGCATGATATTCCTATCCACTCTGTCAAACTGAACTTTAACCAATGTGTTCTTCTTTAACAGAAACCAAATACTTTGATGTTTTCTTAACCTTTTACATCCAGGACAATTAGGAAAATCCACTGGACATAACAAATCCTATTGACATGGAGCTCTGACTTCCACACACTGACCACTATGATGTTGCTACATATTGCCTCCATAACAATCTATTTAGTTGCTTCCAGTTAGATTTTCACTGCAAATAGCTGCAAAATTGCTGATGTGGCATTGTGGAAGCAGCAATTACTCACCCACTAGAAGACTATTTTAGGCCTATGTTGCATAGGTTTCAAGACTGCCGGAGAGTTCACTTCACAAGTATTGTTATGTTTATAATCATGTGCTTCTGTAGCTATTTGGACAAGAAAACAGAATTGTGTGCCACTATTATCAATACGGTGAAGCAATTGTTTGTATAATAGGACCATCGATTGATCTGGACATTCCAAACGATTTATCGATTTCCAAAATATCTAATTGACAAAAGCATTAAGTCTGCAGTAATATTTGCAGAATCAACTTTGTGATGAGCACATCAAGCAGTCAAGCTGACCTATCAAGCATCATTGCATGTATACTACTCAAAAGAAGTTAAGGAACACATTTTGTTCATATGACAAGTTAATCTGTCATGGCATCCGATTTTTTCATATGACTACAGTTAATCTGTCATGGCATCCGAATTTTTCATATGACTACAGTTAATCTGTCACGGCATGAGACCCGCTTTTTTCATATGACTACAGTTAATCTGTCATGGCATGGCAGTGAGTAACTAGTCCTTAGCACAAATTGGGTGTTCTTTAACCTCTTTTGAGTAGTATACATCAATTAGCATCTCATTATCATATTATTCTTTTTCATTGAGTGTAACCCTATATTTATTAGCAAAACTTGTTTTAGTGGTACATATACTTTTGTTTTGTGTTTTTCCTAGAAAGTGCTCCACTGACCACTCCATTACTTCCTGTGGATCATGTCATATTTTCTTGAGCTAAGCAATTATTTACAATGGATTATAATCAATTAAATGATCAATTTGAGAGCTCAAGTTATTGATATGAATGTTCCGGATGATAGTCAGCCATTATGTTATTCCCAGTTGCCACCCTCTTGGTCCCATGTATTCAAGCCTGCTGTGGAGTGAGTGAGTGAGTTGGGTTTAACACCAATTTTAAAAGTATTCCAGTTATATCACAGCGTGTCAGCTTAACGTGAGAGGAAAGCCTTAAGTGATGCAGGTCTCAGACGTTCACCACTTCAGTGAAACCCACGAGCATGGGTATGGTGCTGACAAACCTAGAAACATAATCCCGGCGAACCAAGGGATGAAACTCTGCACAGCTTACCACGGCGCTTTAGACAACTGGGCCACCCGTGCCCCCCCTACAGTGGAAGCCGTGTGTTCTTAATGGACTGCACAGTTATTTCAGTGCATTTAAATTCTTAAATACCACAATCTGCAAATTTTCAGCTATACTCCAGCAGCCTCCAAATAAGTTTGAACCAGACAAACCAGTGACTGATAACATGAGCCAACATCCATGCCAATATGGTACATTACCTGTGAAGATCCAGGTAAGAATAGGCCTTCAGCAACCCATGCTTGACGTAAAAGGCGACTTTGCTTGTCATAAAGGGGCAACTAACGGGATTTGGTGGTTAGGTTGATGTATGTCATAGTATCCCAATTGCGTCGATCAATGCTCACAATCACAATCACTGGTATGTCTGGCCAAGACTTGATTATCTTACAGACCGCCATGATATAGGTGGAATATTGCTGAGTGCACTGTCAAACAACACAAAAAACAACCAACATTCACATTTAAGTTGGCTCGCGTGGCATGAGTGGCAAGCATGAGGACCTGGGAAGCAGGCATTTCTGACCTGAGTTTCTCTTCCAGACATTGACTGCTAAGATATGACTTGGACTAGGAAGTTCAAGGGCTGGCCAGTCAAAACACAGTATTTACTTTTGACTCTATTAGTATTATCTGACCCTACATTATACCTGCTTTCAATTAGCAGTAATGAAAATGTATCGCAAAAATAACCATACGGAAGTGAAATAACACCCCGGTATTTCCATTCTTAAAAAAAAACAAGAAGAATTGTCATCGGTCACTCTGTTTCACTGGGGTAGTTTTACCAATCTTTGTTAACTCAGCACTGCTCATAGCCCTATAGGAGAGGTCGGGTAGCCTAGTGGTTAAAGTGTTCGCTCGTCACGCCAAAGACCCGAGTTCGATTCCTGACATGGGCACAATGTGTGAAGCCCATTTCTGGTGTCCCCCGCCGTGATATTGCTGGAATATATGGCGTAAAACCATACTCACTCATAGTCCTATACAATGGAATCGTAATACGCCAAAGTGATCCAACTCAGACACATTATTGAGAGCATGGCAACCGCAACACACAGACGTTCTTAGTATACTTAATACTTTTTCAATATAATAACAGGGGGCATGGGTGGCCCAGTCGTCTAAGGTGCCACGATTCGCTGTGCAGAGTTGCGTCCCTTGGGCACGCTAGAAACCTATGATTGTGGGTTCGAATCCCGGTTTGCCCCAATTATGTTTCCAGGTTTGTCAGCACCATACTCATGCTCGTGGGTTTCACCGAAGTGGTAAACGTCTGAGACCTGCATCACTTCATGCTTTCCTCCCACATTAAGCTGACACGCCATGATATAATTGTAATACTGTTAAAAGCGGCGTCAAACCCAACTCACTCACGCAATATAATAACATAGAATGTACTACTCAAAAAAAGTTAAAGAACACAAGATTCTTTCATATTACTATGCCATGACAGATTGACTATAGTAATATGAAAGAATTGGGTGTTCTTGAACTCCTTATGATAACCCCTGAAAAACCTGACCAGCAACATGTAGTAAAGTCAGGTATTTTCTGGCCATCCCCACAGCTATATCCCTACACAGAACATGCCTTGTGTTCAGATAGCATAGCATTGCCTCGAAATCACAGCATCTGGTTGATCTGTATACAGAGGAGCATCTGGACTATCAAAGCATAAGCACCATGTCTACATGTTATACAAGCTGGATTAGTCTCTAGGTCTCAAGCAGCATACACAAGCAGCATCTAATTGTAATCACTACATCAATCGCATCTAAAGGCGATATGCATTAATGACTATTTTAAAGGACTATTTCCAAATGCCACAAGCTCTTCAATAAAGTCTTTTCAGAACAAGTGCTGCAGTGGTTGCTGAAAATTGGTGCAGATAAACCATCAAACCACCCTCTACTGCCAGCCAAGGGCAGACCACTCTGTGGGAATCTAAGTGAAGTGAATTCAGACTCTCGTGCTTGATCATTCCTATGTTGAGAGGACTAAGCATGTTTAACAATCTATGTATAACCAGCAACAAACCACCTCTCGGCTGTATGGACATGTGATGTGATGAACCTACTCATATGGTTGTAAAAAAAAATAATCAAACATATTAATGGTTAAAATATACCTGGTTCAAAATTACATTTGTACAAATTCACTCTTTCCTTCTAAAAAAGCAAATGAGATCACATTTTCTTTTGGCAGATGCATACATTTTCTCCAACCTCACAGATCTTGCCATAAATAGATATTAAGGACTATTGCAATTTGGGATTTTGTTTCTTGTGAGCCTTACTACAGGAATACTTTAGGCAAGGTAATATTTTTGTAGTTAATCATAGCAACCTCATAAAAATCAGGGGATGAAGGCGACCCAGTCGTAAAGAGTTGTTAAGACGTATTCAGCTTGTATTGCAGACTTTAACCAAAATATTTTTTTGTTTCACCGTCACAAAGCTGCTTCAGTTTTACCAGATAGGAAATCAATATGCAGATATCAAACCAGATATAAATAATATATAAATATGTATACACATTATAGAATACAATGAAACCTTGCTATGGCAAACTCTATTATACAATATATTTTCATTGTCCAAGTGGAATCTATATGCACCTGATGTTCTACTAGAAACTCTCCAGAAAAGAACTGTGGATAATTCCACATACCTTTGACTTGAATTTAACAAGGTTTCACTGCATTTTATACTGTTTATACAAGAGACAAATGCACATATAGAAGTTTAAAGAAGGTGTCCCTGGAGAATTAGGCATGGTATGTAAGAGTAATGAATATGCATGGCCCCTTTCCAAGCACAAGGTAGATATCACCTTACCTGACAGCCGACCTGAAATTAAATCTCAGAACTTATGGGCCTCACTTAGACAGAGAAACTACCCAACTGATAATCAGTCTGCAAAGTTCTGTAGCTCACCTTTCAATCAAAATATTAGTTGCTTGTTTTTCAGAGTATAATTCCAATTGGATTCCAATTTAATTCTCTTCAGCTTGTTTTTCGTTCTTTTCAGATTAAATATGACTCACTTTTTTTTATAAACAGACAATAACCATGATTTAATACACCCATTTTGTCCAAAGCAATAAAAGATATCACCTTACACCTAGATTAACTGTTACTGTCTTTAATGATAAACACTGTAAAGTTTTCTCTTTTCAATTGTTTTTCTTGTAAAAAATACCATAGAATCTCTTCATTTTCAGAAACGGAAGAAATCTAGACTTTCTAAACAATACTATAGGCATGCTGCAAGTTTCAGTGTCTGTATGTGAGACTGCCTTGTCATCAAAGCTTAAGCATAAAATAATGTTTTACAAAATGCTACATTACAACTACTACTATCCAGAAAACTTACTCTGCTTGATATATTCTCAAGAAAGCACATGCGGTTCCCGAACCCCTCAGCGGCCAGACACACACGGTCGATGGAGCTGCTGTCCTTGGAGGGTGCGATGCAGCTGAGGCAGACCATGTCATCCTGGAACACAGACACATCAGCATCATTATCATGGCTGTTGTTACACTGATGAGGAAGAGGACCAACGTCCAACTGGGAATGGGCGAGACAGGTGTATGATTATAGCCAGTGACATTAAATTGCCATTTCCATATTTGATAACAGGTTACAGTTAGCTTTGAGTCATATTGAGCACCTGTTCATCATATTATGACACATCATTATTAAATATTTTCATGATTTGTGATCATTAGATATCAACATGACACAACATAATTTATATCATGAAACACTGTCATTAAATATCACCATGACACATGACACAGTAAATATCATGATACATATAGTCAGTAAATATCATGACACATTGAATCAGTAAATATCACAATGTCACATCTAGTCAGTAAATATCATGACACATTGAGTCAGTAAATATCACCATGACACACATATAGTCAGTTAATATCATGACACATTGAGTCAGTAAATATCACCATGACACACATATAGTCAGTAAATATCATGACACATTGAGTCAGTAAATATCACCATGACACACATATAGTCAGTAAATATCATGACACATCTCGTCAGTAAATATCACCATGACACATCTCGTCAGTAAATATCACCATGACACATCTAGTCAGTAAATATCATGACACATTGAGTCAGTAAATATCATGACACATAAAGTCAGTAAATATCACCATGACACATCTAGTCAGTAAATATCATGACACATTGAGTCAGTAAATATCATGACACATTGAGTCAGTAAATATCACCATGACACATCTAGTCAGTCAATATCACCATGACACATATAGTCAGTAAATATCATGACACATCAAGACAGTAAATATTATGACACACCGAGTCAGTAAATATCACCATGACACATGTAGTCAGTAAAAAGAAAAATCTCATATCCCGGATGAGGTCTTACCAAGAAAAGTAAACCTCCCAAGAGGTTTTTACAACATAGGAAGATACCTAGAATACAATAGGCAAAAGTGGCAGTAGGTTTATAATTAGGAGATAAACATACTGTGTTTTCAATGTAGAGCTAGGTTACCTGTAGATTTAACCCCACTAAATTGAATTTGGAATCGAACGCGCAGCGTGAGGTTTCAAATGTTAAATTTAGCGGGGTTAAATCTACAGGTAACCTAGCTCTACATTGAAAACACAGTATGTTTATCTCCATTCTACCATGACTAAATAAAACGTGAACTCTTTGGTGTTAGCAAATATACTGAGTGAAGCGGCATGGGTTGAGTTCAGTGTTTTGAGTGGGTTATCGATCTGAATTACGGAATCACCGAACAAAATATGTGCTGTATATACTCAAGCAGTTTGTTTACACCGTAATACTTCACTCGAACATATGACAGGCATTGAAAGAATATAAGCACAGCAACTTGGTAAGCTAACATGAGGTGGGCATCCCTAAAGAAAACAAAGCAAGCTTTGCAAGGCTTCCGCTCTACATCGCGCGTCACCATTATGACGTCATATCGCTCATTGTGACGCAAAAGATATGACGTCACAATCGTATATAGAAAAGCGCCAAAATTCCAAGCTCTCTGTTGTTTCCAAAACATAAATACATTCCCATTGTTGATTTCTGTCGTGTTTTTCTGCATGAAATGTATTGCCACACATCCTTTGAATATTGTAGTAACCGCATCTGTGCATTTTGTAACCTGTAATTGTAGATATAATTATTTAAATATGCCTACAGACAATGACTGAAAATAGTACTATTCTATGAATATTAGCTTCCGCGGTGATGCGGCCGTCAAACCAGCTGTTTCAATCAGAGGGGGTTTATTGTGAATCCTGGATAATCCCTGCCATGACACATCAAGTCATTAAAGATCACCATGACACATTGGAGGCCTGGGATTTTTTGCTTGAGACACAATTTTTCCAGTCACTGCTTAAAAATATACACATTTTTCATTGTTAGGAGTATAACACATTTTCGTAACAATCTACCAACTTCCCAACAAACATCAGAAACAGTGTACGCGTACAATGGAACCTGATTTCATCAACCTCCATTAACGCATGGTCAATCATTTAACACCTAATGGTGATTTCGTAGTCCCAGTAGATTCCTCATAGGCACCTTGTTCAAATATCAGATCTCCAACTACAGATATCTGAATATTTTTAACCAATATTAATTTAATGATCCCCAAGACTCTGAAGTTAAAGAGATTTTACTTCATATATTTCTTTTTCGTAACACTCAAAACGGATTCTGTTCCTACCCCATGCGGTAGCATGAATACATCCCTTGTCCAATCATTAAAGCATGACCTTTTACTGCTTTGACAACTGAAATTCCTCAACAACAAAACCAATGGAAAACATAATCAGATATTTGACTAGTATTAGTTCACTGCACAGTAATGCATCCTCTTAATCCCCTCACAGTGGCAATATCTCCACTCTTTCCAAGAGAGCAGTACATAAAAACAAAAGGAAATCAATTTATTTGAGTGACTTGTGAAATTAACCCTATTTCTACAATCATTGGAGGCTGGCTTCAGATTCAAATACCAAGGCTGTTGATGAGATTGAAGAATCAATTTTCAATGTTGACTTCCCAACCTTCTGTACAGAGGTGGCGCGGTCGGGTAGCCTAGTGGTTAAAGCGTTCGCTCATCACGCCGAAGACCTAGGTTCGCTTCCCGACATGGGTACAATGTGTGAAGCCCATTTCTGGTGTACCCCGCTGTGATATTGCTGGAATATTGCTAAAAAAGGCGTAAAACCATACTCACTCACTCGCTCTTTACAGAGGTTGAACATTGCATCACTGCATTTAATCATGATACCATGAATGGCAAACAATATTACCAAATGTGCCTGAAACTTAATGTAAATGCACATATGACCTAATCATTTCCCTGTGAAGATCTGGGTTAAAATTTGTCTTCAGCAACCCATGCTTGCTGTAAGAGTTGACAAATGGGATTCAGTGGTCAGGCTCGCTGACTAGGTTGATGCATGTCATTGTATCCCAAATGCATAGATCGATGGTCATGACATCAGTCACTTGATTATCTGGTGAGACTCAAACATTTACAGACCTCCGTCAAACAATAAACAAAGCTAAACATTTTCAGAAAGTAAGGGAGACCTGGGGCCCTCTCATGGTACCCTGCTGTATAATTAATAAGGCCACCTAAATCATTAATTTTGTACCATTAGGGTTATGACAAGGACCTCTTATCTCTTCCGCTGAATTTTGAACATTGCCCAATTGCATTCTGCTCATGTAACCAAGTAGACACGCCTGTGACACCAAATGACAAGTGAAAATATTCTCATCATTTTGAAGCAGTTGAAAGAGTACTTTTCTACAAATTATTACATCATTATTGCCAAACTGCCCTGTGTGCAATTGGACTGATAGAAACTCTGTGTCACGTTTCTCTGCAGTAATGAAATTGCTTCATGTGGCCATAGCCACTACTAAACTCCAGTGCATCAGGACATGGAGGAGTCAGCATCATCTGTCATAAAATGAAGTTTAATCATATTACTCTCAGATCCTTTTATCCATGCCCAGGACCACACTTTATCAAACCACCAGCTCAGCTCGGAATCAAGACTGGAAAAACCAAAACATACCCACAGGGGTAGCATTCAGTCCAATGCAATATGTTCCACATGATGTCATCTGCAACACTGCTTCCTATTCACGCAAATAAATATCCTTACTTTAAAACATCTATCAGGAAAGGATTATATGACACAACAATTAGTCAACCGAACTGTACAACAGCGACAACTCAAGCGACACACGCACATTATAACAGCAGCTCATCAACTCTTTTATTTCCTATCTGTGAATAGATGACTGGAAGTTCTTTTTTTATTAATTTGTACAAATGTAAGCAGGAACAGACTGATAAAGTAATTGAACTAGGCAAAAGGTGAGCAGGGCTCACTAATACCCCCAACCGCAACTCCAACATCAGCTGAAATACTTTGTTAAGAAAATCCACTTATTGAAATCAAGCTTTTCACTGCACCTCTCCTATTGGTATAGAAACTGTACCCCCAACCTGACAAGAATAATTGAAGTAGCTTTCAAGTTATAGGTCGCTAAAAAGTTGAAGCAAAATATATTAAGTTCAAAACATGAAAAAATTATACTTTTTCATAAAATACACATATCAAAATCAAACTGTGCACTGCAACTCTCCTATTGGTAACGAAACTGTACCTCCAATTGGAAAAAGGACCCATGCAGAAGTTTCAAGTTATAGGTCGCATAAATGTTTAAGTAAAAACATTCTAAGTAAAAGAATGAAAAATAGCTGTATTTTTTCAGAAAATCCAAATATTGAAGTAAACTTCGCACTGCACCTCTCCTATTGGTATAGAAAGCATTCACAAAATCTGAAAAGTATCTATGCCATAGTTGTGCTTATTAGTAGCACAAAACAATGTAGGAAGGGCGGACGGATGCAATTCCTTGGTATAACTATATAATTCCACCCTTTAAGGTCGGATGTATAATAAAAACTCAAAGATTTCAATCTTTCATGTTGACAAGCACAATACAACTGTACAAGTGTACAATTTCAAATTCTTTATGTAATGATTAAGATTATTGAGGGACCGACATCAGTATTTACTAAAAATACCAGTTAAAAATATTTTTTGGGTCATGTTTCTTCTTTCACACAAAGATTCTCTCCACCTAATCACACCACCCCCTACCCATCCCACCGAGAATATTACATGGTCGTGTCCTTATGTTCATTTCAATAAAGTACAGCACATCTAAAGCAGACCTCCGGGTGTAGAGCTAAAAAAATAGCAACAAAACCCTTTCCATAATCATGAAAATACCTCTAAGTCCATTGTAAGATTCTGGCCATATCATATGCAACCGTTGATCAATCACTATTTAATAGTGACAATGCCTGGAGTTGTTGAAAGGTGAGTGTATCCATCCCCACCGGTGTCAACTGTCATATTTCATTCATCCT